AGACAAATAGATATAGAAAATGAAACATTTGCTTTTTCAACACTTGCTTCCTCCTCGTGAAGGCAGCAGGTTGTGACAAAAAGAGGAGATAAACAAGGGCAGAGTGAGGTGGAAGACAGAGCAATGCCTTAGGCAACCATTTCAGAGAAAGAAAAAATCCTAAAGATTGGTCCTAAAGTAAGGGAAAGGGTATAGATTGAACAATTAGAAAAGTGAAAGGCAAAATGTTTGGAAGGCTCAGATGGTGGAAAACATTGTATGCAAATCTTAAGCAAACATGATGGTGCCTCTGACACGCTTTGATATGAAAGCTTTTGCTTTGATATTGGGTTTGCAGAAAAGGAGGGTGAGGGGGCTTTCGGGGGTTTTGTTTTGGGGGGTGCAGACAGCTGGGAGGAGAAAGTGTATGTGTCCTGGATCAGGCATGGCCTCTCTGTGATGTTCTCTCTGTAACCACTAGGGAGCAGTCGTGTTTCTTTTCTCTGCTGGTCTGCCAGAAGCAGGAGGGGGACTGTACTAGAGGGGAGTCCTGGTCTTGCTGGGTGCTCCCTAGAGCGCTCCCCTGGCCCACTTTACCTCAAGTTCTGCCAGGAAAACCGAACGCATGTCCTGGCTCATTTCAGGAGCAGAATTCGCTCTCTTCAGATCTCAGAGTGTTTTGGACTTTCCTTTGCCTTGCCCCTTAGCTCGTCATCCACTGATTCTTCTAGTCTCACTGTATTATCCGCCTTGCTTGGTCTCAGTCTGCCTTGCAGCTTTCCATCTCTGTTTCTACAACTTCACCTCTAAGCCTTTCCTTCTTATTCATAACATTTTTCTCTATAGCGTTCTGGGTCCTAGTGCCTGTCTTGGTATCTCTGGCTCCCTGGTTTCTTCCTGTGTACTGTGTCTCTGCCCCTTAGACAGGGAGCATTCATCTAGAAGGAGGAGTTCTTGCCCACCTATTTACAGATGCCTTTCTGCCTATGAAAGAGCCGTAGTGGCTGAGTAGTTAAGTGCTCAGCTGCTAACGGGTCGGAGGTTTGAACTCACCAGCCGTTCTGCAGGAGAAAGATTTAGCAGTTGGTTTCTGTAAAAATTACAATCTAGGAAACCCAAAGAGGTAGTTCTACTCTCTCCTATAGGGTCACTGAGTTGGAATCAACTTGACTACAATGGATTTGGGTTATTTTGTTTGTTTTCTGCCTATTTCTCATGTAAGAATATTCACAGTTCAGTGATTGCAACTTGATATTTGTTTGTGAGGCAACACCTTCCTAGCTGAGCAAAGTAGGACTACCATTCCCCCTTTTCTCATCTTGAGAAATAACCAGTGAAACCCAGGTCTGGAAGGAAGAAGAGGGCAGTATCAAAAACAAAACAAAACAAAAAAACACCCTCTTTGATTTCTCAGTAGCATTCTCCATTTTCCCCTCCTCACCCTTGTGAGGGAATGAAGCATTAGGAAGGGGAGGAATGAAGAGGCAGTCAGGGAGCTGTGGAGACTGAGGGCCATTTTGGAGCTGACTACACCCTTGACTCTCCTCCCTCCCTTGGCTCCAGGCCTCCCTCCTCCCATCCCCCTCGGTGGCAGCAGCCGTGTAATTTAAAGCTCTCTCTGTCGCCTCTAATGTGATCCTCTCGTTTTATTGACTCTCTCTACTGGCTGTGGCGCCCCTTCACATCAATCTCCTCTCTAATCACACCGCCGCCACTACTGCCTTCTCTGTCTCCCCTAACCCCTCTCCACTTCATGGGCCCCCAGCCCTCGCCTGTACCCCGATCTTTCCTTTTGCTTGTCCCAACTCTATACCAGATCTGTTCTCTTCCTTTCCTATCCAGAGGCAGGAGTGTCAGGGTGTTTGAGCAGTCAGTCTCCTGTCCTTTCACCCAGGTCTAAGATGTGCCCCAAGGGAGAGAAGATGTCCTTGAGAACAGCCAGAAACTGAAGGAAGAGTGGCAATGGCTCTGAGGGAGAACAAGAATCTTGGCCTAGGGGTGGAAGGTGGGGTGGGTGGGTGTGACTTTTAGACTTGTTACCTGTTTCTGCATGACTCCACAAAGAGATGAAAGGAGTTCAAGGTAGAAAGGGCAAAGAAAGGCCATAGAGCTTCAGAGAGGGAAGGAAGAAAAGATGGAGGGATATGGAAGGAGAAAAAAAGTGAAAAAATAATTGCTGTAGCTAAAGGTTTGCAATAAATAGTGGGTGATGGGAGAAGCACTGCCAAGAAGAAAGGGGGTGGGGGGAACTGGTGGCAGTGGGTGGGGGTGGGGAGGGATGCACTGAGGCAGAGATAAATTTGCAATTGAAATTCTTTCCTGAAGCGGAGGAGGGGAAGAGATTTGCAATTTTAAACAGCTGCCGACCTACCCTTGGCCACCAAACTGGGTCTCACCCACAAGCCAGCCAAAAGCCACGCTTCTTTGGTGTCTAGCTAGGAATCAGCTGTGTCTTCTTCCAGTCCTGGGAAGTAGCTTTGGCAAGAGAATCTGGGATGTCTTACAGGACTTGAGGTTAGGTCTACCTAGCCCTCCTTGAAGTGTGGTCTGAAGTTGTGAGTCAAAAGCCAGGAGAAGAAACTATGGAAGTAGGGAGGTGGAAGTAGGCAGGGTAGTAGGCTCCATTGCTGGGACCACCATGTTGAGCCCTCATCAGTAACACGGAATAGGCCCTTTTGCCCAGGCCTCAGTTCTTCCCCCTAGGTGGGGCAGTGGGGCCCCCACTGTGAGGATGACAGTGGAATGTCAGACCCTCACCAGCCAGCACACTTCTTTCCCTTCTTCCTTTGGAGGATTCCATAGGAGGAGCACATTTCTCCCACAGCTTACAGACCTTCTGTTGTTGTTGTTGTTATGTGCCGTCGAGTCGGACCCAACTCATAGCGACCCCTTCCTTGGGTTTCCGAGGCAGTATCACTACGGAAGTAGGATTGCCCAACCTTCCTTCCGAGACAGACCTTCTAGTCTCTGGTTATCCAGGGATAGGCTCCCGTGCAATTCCTTCACACGCCTTTTTGGTCCTCTAACTCTCCATCCTTTTCCAGGTGCTGATTTGCATTTTCATTAGCATGCTAATCAAGCCCCACTCTTAGCTCCTTAATGGCTCTGACTTCACGCCTGGCTAGCCACCACCCCCCCAGGAGGAGGGAAGCCTGAATGGGGACCTGCAATCTGGGTGCGTCCTTGGAGCTGTGTGATCACCAGCAGTTTACTCAGCTTCTCTGTTTCTTACTTCCTTCATCTGTAAAATACAGATGCTGTGAGATTAAATGAGATAATTGATGTAGAGCATTTAGCACAATGTCAGGCCCATGGTATATATTACTTATTTTTTTAATCTCTTTAGGGAGGGGAAGGCTAATCATACAAAACCTGTTGTCTTTCAACTGGCCAGGGAAGTCCCCACCTATTCCACACACCAGGGACCAGAGATAGATATGGAAGGCACCAGGAAGCAGTGTGGAGTCTCTTTGTGCCACTGAAAATTAGTTATGGCAAGAAGACCTTAATTTAGGGAATTTGCCTCTTCAAGGCATGGAAAATCTTTCTCTGAATTTGTTCACTGAACAGACATTTATTGAGTATGCAGCAGGCATCCTTTTTGGTGCTAATTACAGAGCAATAAATAAAGCAGATCAAGTCTTACCTTCTACATACAAGGGGAAGAAAATATAAACCAGGAAATGGGGTCGCCATGAGTCTGGGGACTACTTGATGGCAGCTAACAACAAACCAGGAAATATCAGGTAGTGATACATCTATGAAGAAAGTAACCTAGGGGCTGTTTTAGTTGCAGTGGAGAGAGAAGGCCTGCTGGAGCAGGAGACATTTAAACAGAGTTTCGAATGGCAAAGCCAACCATGCACAGACCTGGGGTTAGAGCAGTCTAGGCCAAGAAAACAGCTTGGGCAAAAGCCTTAAGATGGGAATGAAGTTGGGCTATGTGTGGCAGGCACCAGAACAGAAAGTCCAATGGGCTGGTCTTCCAGATGAGGTAGGGTGGAGAGTGTAAGATGCACTCCTAGGTGTCAGAGTGGATAGGCCCTTTGTAGATCATGGAAACGAGTTGGGATTTCATTCATAACTCAGTGAGACATCATTGATGGGTTTTAAGCAGAATATACTACAATTTACATTTCAAATGGATGATTCTCTATGATGCCTGAAATTTACATCAAAACAATACAGGAAAGGTGGTGGTAGAAGTAGGAGAGAGTATAGAAGAAACAAGATTGGCCATAATTTGATTATTGTTGAAGCTGGGTGATGGGTCCAAAAGGGTTTATTATATTATTTGGTCTACTTTTGTATATGTTTGGCATTTTTCATAATTGAGAATTAAAACTATGGCTTTTGGGTGCAGGGAGAATAGATAGTAGGGGAGACCAGAAGTCAGGTTGGAATGTGTTGCATTAACCCAGGAAAGAGATAATAATGGCTTGGATCTGGAGGTTACTAGTGGAAATGGAGACAGTGGAGATGGGGACAGGGGCAGGGAACTCATGTTTTAGACATTGCTATGGAGTTGGATATAAAAAAGTCAAACTCGCTGCCATCGAGTCAATCCTGACTCATAGCTACCCCTCCTTGGGTTTCCAAGATGATATCTCTATGGAAGTAGATTGCCCAGTCTTCCTTCTGAGGAGTGGCTGGTGGGTTTGAACTGCTAGCCTGCTGGTTAACAGTCAGATGCCTTAGGCACTAGGCCATCAGAGCGCCCTGGAATTGGATATGGGGTGAGAGGAAAAAAAATGCCAATTTTTTAAAATAGCAAAGACGGGGAAGAACACATTCCAGGAAAAATAGAGAGTTCTGATTTTAGACATGGTAAGTTAGATATGAAGTGAAGCTGTCAAGTTGGCAAATGGGTATCTGAGTCTAGCAGGTAGAGAAAAGGATAGGGCTGAAGTGTCCAGACATTCAAAAGCCTAGTCATGTCTCCCCTGAAAACTTACAGCACTGCTCTTTCCATGTCTCCCTGCAGGGTACTGGCTGTCACGCTGAAATGAAACCTCAGCACTCCTCCATCTACCATGGCCACCCTTAGCTCATCCTCTACCACTGGCACCACCCCCGCCCCTGGGCACGATGCCCTGTCCCCACCTCCGGACACCTCTTCCTCCCACACCACCTCTGATTCTGTCACCAAAGATCCCCCTGTTGTCCCCTCCACCTCTGAGAGCATGAGGCCCTCAGAGCCAGGGGGGCAGCCCCTAGAGTCAGGCTCTGACCTCATCCAACCAAAGGAGATTGAGGAGCCCCAACAAGAGCCTGGCTATGTTCTTTTCCCACCAAAGGATCTAGGGGTGGAAGAAGACAAGGAAAAGGAGGAGGAAGAAGGGCTCCCTCCTGTGGACCTAAACAACCACTTATTCTTCACATCTGGTGGTGAGGCCTACCTGGTGGCCAAGTTTTCCCTGCCAGGTGGCAGTGAACTCCTATTACCAAAGGGCTTCCCCTGGGGTGAGGCGGGCATCAAGCAAGAGCCCAGCCTGCCCCTCCTGGCCCACCCGCCTCCCACACATCTCACTGCCCTTCACATCCAACATGGCTTTGACCCAATCCAAGGCTTTAGCTCTTCTGACCAAATTCTGTCCCACAATACCTCAGCGCCACCTCCGGCCGCCTATGAGGGAAGGGACGGAGCCTTCTGGAGCTACCAGCTGGCTCCAAACCCACCCGGAGATCCCAAAGATGGCTTCATGGGGAGCAGTGGGGAAGACCACAGGGCACTCTTCTGGCTCTGCCTTCTGTGCCGCCTAGGTTTCAGTAGGCCTCAGGCCTTTGTGGGCCACACACAGTCTCATGGGGTGAAGCTAACTCCTGCTCAACACCAGGGCCTGCCATGCAGCCCAGCCATGCTCCAGGATGGGGGAGAGGGCTGCATGGCCCTCATAAGCTTTCTGGAACCAAAACTCCCTACTTGCCCCCTTTTTGAGATACCCCTTGACAATAGCAGCACAGTGAATGTGGAGGCAAATGTAGCCCAGACTGAGGATGGCCCCCCTGAGGGAGAAGTCCAAGCCCATGTCCTGCCCCATGAAGAAGTCATGGCCCTCAGCCCACCTTCTCCACCCACAACCCCAGTCACCTGGGACCCCAGCCCAACCCAAGCCAAAGAACTGCCAATGGCAGCAGGTGAGGCAGGGCCAGATTGGTTCCCTGAGGGGCTAGAAGAGGATGGAGGGCTCTGCCCCCAACTCAACCAAAGCTCACCCACCTCCAAGGAGGGGCCCACTCTCCCCACTCCAGTAGGCTCTCCTGAAGACCCCAATGACCCACCACAGCCCTACCGCCTGGCTGATGACTACACCCCAGCCCCTGCAACCTTCCAGGGCCTCAGCCTGTCCAGCCACATGTCTCTGCTACATTCACGCAACTCCTGCAAGACACTCAAGTGTCCCAAATGCAACTGGCACTACAAGTACCAGCAGACCTTGGATGTGCACATGCGGGAGAAGCACCCCGAGAGCAACAGTCACTGCAGCTACTGCAGTGCTGGCGGTGCCCATCCCCGCCTAGCTCGCGGAGAGAGCTACAACTGTGGCTACAAGCCCTACCGCTGCGATGTCTGCAACTACTCCACTACCACCAAGGGCAACCTTAGCATCCACATGCAGTCTGACAAGCACCTGGCCAACCTGCAGGGCTTCCAGGCAGGGCCTGGTGGGCAGGGCAGTCCTCCAGAGGCATCACTCCCACCCTCTGCAGGGGACAAAGAGCCCAAGACCAAATCATCCTGGCAGTGCAAGGTGTGCAGCTATGAGACAAACATCTCCCGCAACCTTCGCATCCATATGACCTCTGAGAAGCACATGCAGAATGTCCTAATGCTGCACCAGGGGCTGCCGCTGGGCCTGTCACCTGGGCTGGTAGGGCCAGGCCCTCCTCCCCCCCCAGGGGCTGCCCCCACCAACCCTCCTGAGCTCTTCCAGTACTACGGGCCCCAAGCCCTGGGGCAGCCTCAGACTCCCTTGCCTGGCTCTGGGCTGAGGCCAGATAAGCCCCTGGATGCCCAGCTGTTTCTCAATGGTTTTCACCACCTTGGAGCACCTAGCCGCAAGTTTTCCACATCTGGTAAGGCTCCCTGGACTCTATTCCTCTTTTCCTCTCCCACCACCCCCAGAACCATCCTGTCTTCCCTGCTTTCTCCCACAGGTTAACTCCATTCTTAGGTACCAAGAAGCCCTCTGAACACTATCTTCCTTGTTAACCCACCTCCTCATATCCCCAGAGCAAACCCATTCCACCCCATTTCTTCCTTGGGACATCACTCTGTCTCTGTCCCTTAGCCCCTGGCAGCCTTTCCCCGGATGCCCACCTGCCTGCAAGTCAGCTCCTGGGCTCCTCGCCTGATGGTCTGCCCACCTCACCACCCCCAGATGACAGCCCATCCCTGAAGGTGTTCCGCTGTCTAGTGTGCCAGGCCTTCAGCACTGACAGCCTGGAGCTGCTGCTCTACCACTGCAGTGTGGGCCGTAGTCTCCCAGAAGCTGAATGGAAGGAAGTCACTGGTGACACCCACCGCTGTAAGCTCTGCTGCTATGGCACCCAGCTTAAGGCCAACTTCCAGCTCCATCTCAAGACAGACAAACACGCCCAGAAGTACCAGCTGGCTGCCCACCTGCGAGAGGGTGGTGGAGCCATGGGCACTCCCTTACCAATGCCCCTGGGAGATGGAGCTCCTTATGGATCTGTCTCCCCCCTGCACCTGCGCTGCAACATCTGTGACTTTGAGTCCAACAGCAAAGAGAAGATGCAGCTGCACGCCCGGGGTGCAGCCCATGAAGAGAACAGCCAGATCTATAAGGTGAGGGTGGGGCCCACGGAGAAAGAAGAGGAGCTGGGGACGAAGGGGAGAGATGCAGAGTGGAGCAGTGATGGAAAAATCCAGGGCAGCAGAAATGAAGAAAAACGGAAGTATGTACCAGGGTAATGAAGTCTTTGGAGACAGGCACAGAGAAAGGCCAAAGGAGAGTGGACTCAAGATGTGAAGCTTGTCATTTAGTCAGCTCTTCTGGTATTTGGGGGTTGGTGGAGGGGGGGCTCTATGTCCACTCAGCCCATCCAGTCACCAGAAGTTCAAGAGGATAGAACCAAAGGCCATTTACATCCAAGGAGGGAGTCCAGAGTGGTAGGAGGAAAAGGCAATTGGAGGAGAAAAAGCATTAATACAGGTAGTCATAGGAGGGGAAATGGGTGCTCTGGGGGGTGGGAGGGATGAGTGGAGAGGAAGGTGTGCTAGTCAGGCTCCCTTGGGGAAGGCAAAAGAGATCCGAGATCTGGGAGTATCCCTGTGGGCCTGAGCCCATCTCTTCACATGCTTCTAGTTTCTGCTGGAGATGGAGGGAGCAGAAGCAGGGGCTGAGCTGGGGCTCTACCACTGCCTGCTGTGTGCATGGGAGACACCCTCCCGCTTGGCTGTGTTGCAACATCTCCGTGCACCTGCTCACCGCGATGCCCAGGCCCAGAGGCGTCTGCAGCTGCTACAGAATGGCCCAGCAGCTGAGGAAGGACTCACAGCTCTTCAGAGCATCCTGAGCTTCAGCCATGGGCAGCTTCGGACTCCCGGTGAGGAAGGGGGGACTGGGAGAGGGCTTGGCAGGGAGAGCAGCTGGGTGCTGGGAAGTGGGGGGATGATGAGAAAGGATGTGATAATAGGAAGAAATGGGTCTGTGGGCATCAATAACAGGTGGAAAGAGGGTGGTGTAGTGTTGGTAAAAAAAAAATATAGGGGTTTCAGGAACAGTGAGGGCTATCACGCATGGAGGGAGAACAAGACAAGTTGGGAGGAGGCGGAGAAGGGCAGGGACTTTGCTGGGTGGAGAACAGGAAGGGAGAGGAAGGAATCCCCAGTGATTCTGAGCAGTGATTACTGTCCTAGAAATGCTGGGTGTGGGAGGTGGCAGGACAGAGCTAAAAAAAAAAAAAAAAAAGGACAGAATATGTTTCCTGAGGACCAAGACATGTTGGAAGGAGATGGGAATTGTGGGGATAGTCCAAAGGCAGCAGTGATGGGAAGAGGGCCCTGACAAACTTCCCAGCCTCTTCTTGTCTCTTACGTCTTCAGCCCTAAGGCTGGGCTTACGATCACCTTTAGGAAGCCGAGTTGGTACTAGCAGAGGCCAAGGACAGCCAAGCAGGTGGCCATTGATCCAGAGGAGGGTGGAAGGGCCTGAGAGGGGTTGTCAGAAGCGAGCATGGGTGTCAGGGTTTTGTAGAGGCCAGGGATGGGCGAGGGCAAGGGCACTCAGCAGGAAAGAGGAACAGGCCGCATTGACTGGTGCTAATTGAATTGCCAATATGCTGGTTGGAGTTAAGTGCCGAAGGGGCCCAGATCAATAACTAACGATCCTGGCGCAGGGCTGAATGGAGTTAAGGAACTTTAACACTTTAATTAGGCTGCCACCGAAAATAAATTCCTACACATCTGTCAATTCTTACTTGAGTGGTAATCTCCTCTCCCAGCTGGTCCTGCCGCCTCCTGCACACCTCAGTCAACCTCAGCTTCTTTCTTTAGAGTTCCTCCCAATAAATTTCTGGGGCCTCTGCTTCTAGCTGAGTGTGGTCCTGTTGTTTCTGTTGCCTACAGCTGGACTTGTTCCCTCATCTATAAGATGAGGAGGCTGGACTCGCACAAGACAGTCTCTTAGTCCCTGCCGTTCAATATTTCTTCTTGGGGTCTTTTTGCCCTCTCCTGCCTGTTGAGGCATCCATCCATTCTGTCCTAATCTTTTCATTGACTGGCTGCTTGTTCCCCTTCCTTTGTCCTATGCCCTCCCTTCCCTGCTGCTTCATTCCTTTAAGCTGATTCTCCACCCCCATCCCTACACAGGAAAGGCTTCTGTCACCCCCTTAGCTGAGCCACCCACCCCCGAGAAAGATGCCCAGAAGAAGACAGAACAATTGGGTGAGTTGCTCATCTGGCCTGTTCTCCCTCCATCCCTTATTATGCGCACACACACCCCGCCCCCGCCCCCAGTCATTGATTCCTTTATGTTCATGGGACCTTGCAGAAATCCATATGTCCAGCAAGGCCTCTTGTGCTGAGGGAGCCCAACTCTGATCAAAGAAAAGGGCTCATCAGAGGGAAGAGAGGTTGAGCCACAGGTTTGGGTTTGATGCCATCCTGACAACCTAGAGTCAGCCCCTTACACATGTGTACGGAGCAGAGCTCTGTGGCTTCCTGCCCTTTCTCCCTTCCCCTAGAGCCCAGCCACCTGCTCTGGGAGTTCTGTGCTACAAATGAGGTCATCTTGAGGGCTGAGGGTCTATGAAAGGAAGAGTGAAGGCTGTCAGAGTCTCCTAACATCTCCTTTCCTGTCATCTTTAGCTTCCGAAGATGCAGAGAACAAGACTGGCCCTTCGGGAGACAGTGCCAACCAGACCACGGTCAGAACTGGGGTAGCTGGAAAGAGCTGAAGGGGTCTGGCTTTACCAGGATCTCATATTCCAAAGGCAGAAATTCTAAACAGTGCAGAGCTTTATAAACGTCATATTGAAGACAGGCTTAATATATTCATGCCTGTCACTGACTTCACTCAGAAGAGGTCATATTTAAGAAATTCCATTCATATTAGCTCAGCGTCATATGGAGGAAGATTGCACATAGATGAAGATGGCAAGAAAGAGATGGAAGGAGTTTGAGGGAAAGGTGGACAGAGAAACTGTTGAGGGTAGGAACAATTGGAGGGAGAAGCAGGGGAGGAAAAAAGGAATAAGTGAAAAGGAAAGGGGAAAAAAAGGGCTGCTGTACAACTCTCCTACATTCAGCTAGAACCAGAAAGACATAGACACACAGTTCAACTCTGCAGAAACCCCTGAGCCTGGATGGAATGTCCTGGCACCTCCTTCCTCCTTCCTGGGGGAATTCCAGGGGGTAGAGGCACCACTCAAATGATTCACCCAGACCGCAAGCCCTCGGGCATGAAAGTGTAGATTCTGTGGGGATTCCCAGCCTCTGGTTTTGAGCTGCATCCTGTGCCCTGTAGCTCTGCAGAGTGGGTTGAATGTGGACAATGCAGATCTGAAGGGTCTCTGCAGGAATGGTTTATCTTCAGGTTCTCGTCTTCCTACCTTCTATTTCCTCCAACAGACCTATTCCAGATGTCTGTGCTGAGGGCTGTTGTGTTGTTGTTGTTATGTGCAGTCAAGTCTCACCCGACTCATAGCAACCCCTCCTTGGGTTTCCGAGGCAGTATCACTATGGAAGTAGATTGCCCCATCTTCCTTCCGAGGAGTGGCTGGTGGGTTTGAACTGCCAGCCTTCTGGTTAGCAGTCAAGTGCCTTAGGCACTATGCTACCAGGCTAGGCACATTTAAATGAGCACCTGGATACCTTTCTTTCCATTATGCTCCCCCCACACACACAGCCTTTGGGAGGCACCTAGGCTTGTACCAATGGCACAGGCAACAGGAGAGAAGTATACCAGGGACACCAGCCTGATCTGAGGTGGCAGCAGTCAGGTGACTGAGGCAGAAACCCAGGGGCTTTCTTGGCCCCACCCCAGGTTTCCCAGTCCTACCCCTCTGGAGGTGTAGGCCTGAATGATCTGGGAGAAAGGACAGACCAGAATTTTCCTAGGCCACTGTGGGAGCCATGGCATCTGTTTACTTGTGAAAAAACAAACCAAACCAAACTCACTGCCATCAAGTCAATTCCTACTCATAGTGACCCCCTTTGGGTTTCCGAGGCAGTAAATCTTTATGGAAGTAGATTGCCCAATCTTCCTTTCCCGGAGTGGCTGGTGGGTTTAAACAGCCAGCCTTCTGATTAGCAGCCAAATGCCTTAGGCACTATGCCACCAGGGGTCCTTACATGTGAAAAAAGAGAGAAGGAAAAGAAGTAGGAATTGCTGAGCCTCTGAGGGAGAATGAGCTGGTTTCTGGGTAGGGCCCCCTCTTCAGGACATATTTCTCAGTTCAGGGTCTCTGCAAAGCAGAATAGGCAGAGTTTTTGAGTCCAAGAACTCCCCAGAGGAAGCAGAACCATTTCATGGAGAAGATACAGGCAAAATGGGGTGGGTAAAAGAAGAAAAACAGATTGGGGTTGAAGTAGGTACAGGGCCATATAGTCAGCTAGAAAATAGAGTAGGGCAGCAGAAACAGGGAAAGAAAGACCAAGGAAAAATAGAGAGATGCCAGGATGGAGGGAGAGGGCCAAAGAAGGAAGGCAAGCTTTGTTCTACTCCAAGAGAAAAGAGGGAGGAGCTACTTTCAGGATGTGTGGATGGGGGGTGGGGCCTCTCTAATGCCTTCCTGTGGGGCTTGCTCTTCCTAAACAGGGAGCCAAGAAGCCAAAGAACTGTGTAATGTTGGGTCCCACCCTCTCTGATACCTCCTCTACTGTCCTTATGTGCCCCTAGGTATACTGCTGTCCATACTGCAGCTTCATGAGCCCAGAGTCCGACCAGGTGAGGGCTCATACAATCTCCCAGCATGCAGTGCAGCCCAAGTACAGATGCCCACTGTGCCAGGAGCAGCTAGTGGGCCGGCCTGCCCTGCACTTCCACCTTAGCCATCTTCACAACGTGGTACCTGAGTGTGTTGAGAAGCTGCTGCTTGTGGTGAGTACTAGACTGGGTAAGGACCACCCACTGAGGTCCTGCCAGTACCATGCAGGAAGGGAAGAAGAGGCAGGGGTAGCCAGGCAAGTGTATATACTTGGGCAGGGGGTAAGGCATTGATAAAGTAGCATTTCACAGATTTAAAGTTGGAAGGAACCTCAGAACTTAGCTGCCCTCTACTCATGGATGAGGAAACTAAGCATTTCTTCCATATCTGTTAATTTCCTAAGAAGAGCTATCAACAGACAGCATGAACCTGGGAGGGTCAGGTGCCTCAAGGAAGGGGAAAGAGGGAGCCCGATAGGAGAGGGAGCAGCCCAGGCCCTCGCATCTGGGGTGGGGGGAGCAGAAATTGAACGGGAGTTTTGTCCAGTGAGGAGGCTTTGTCATGTAAAGAGCTGGGCATAGGCATAGGCACAGAGCAGGAATAGCCAGGGCAGGGTGGAGGTGTTCAGTCACTGGGATTTCTTCCATTACAGGCCACAACTGTAGAAATGACCTTTATGACCAAAGTGCTGCATGGGTCCAATCTGCATGTGGAGGAAGGCCCAGAGCCCCTCATTCCCAGGCCAGAGCCTTCACCCAGCAGAGACCAGGCTTCAGGTAAGGAAGGGGCAGCACACTTCACAGGGTGGTAGGAAAGGGGAACTGGGCTCCAGGTCTGAGGCGATAGTCACTTGTCCTAGATATTAAGTGGGTAGAATATGGGCTAAATAAAGTTCCTTTCTTTCTCATTATACTTCTTTCTCTCTTCCCTAGAAGAAGGCCCTAACCTGACCCCAGAAGCCAGTCCAGATCCTCTTCCTGAGCTTCTCCCACCCTCAGCTGAGGCTCCAAACAAGCCCATGGGAAGCCCTGACCAACCCCCTTCTCCAGCCCCATCTCCAATCCCCCCGCCTGATACCCAAGCTGAAGAAATGGCTCCTCCACCCACAATGGCTGAGGAGGAAGAGGGGACCGTTGGGGAGACTCGCCCTACAGAGCCAGTTCCAGCTGATTCTCGCCATCCTCTGACCTATCGGAAGACCACCAACTTTGCTCTGGACAAGTTTCTGGACCCTGCCCGGCCATATAAGTGCACTGTGTGTAAGGAGTCCTTTACCCAGAAGAATATTCTCCTAGTTCATTATAATTCTGTCTCCCACCTTCATAAGATGAAGAAGGCTGCCATTGATCCCTCCGCCCCTACCCGGGGAGAGGCTGGTGCCCCACCTACCACCACTATTGCCACAGACAAACCCTTTAAATGCACAGTCTGCAGAGTCTCCTACAACCAGAGCTCCACATTGGAGATCCACATGCGGTCAGTTCTGCATCAGACTCGCTCTAGGGGGGCCAAGACTGACGCCAAGGCTGAGGGGCCGGAGCGCAGCCAAGAAGAGCCCAAAGAAGGCGAGACCGAGGGGGAGGTGGGCGCTGAGAAGAAGTTCCCTGACTCCAGTAGCTTCATATCTGGACTGCCCTTCCTGTCCCCTCCACCCCCTCCTTTGGACCTCCACCGATTTCCAGCCCCCCTCTTCACCCCACCAGTCCTGCCCCCCTTCCCTTTGGTACCCGAGTCACTGCTTAAGCTCCAGCAGCAGCAGCTTCTCCTGCCCTTCTACCTCCATGACCTCAAGGTGGCGCCCAAACTAGCACTGGCTGGGCCTGCACCCTTGCTGTCCCTGCCAGCTGCCACCCCTCCACCCCCACCCCCACCCCCCAAGGCTAAGCTGGCTGAGAGGGAGTGGGAGGGGCCCCCCATGACTGAAGAGGGGAGTGAGGCAGGGCCCGCCTCACCACCCCACCCAACACCCAATGAGGCAGCCCGCACTGCAGCCAAAGCTCTTCTAGAAAACTTTGGCTTTGAGCTTGTGATCCAGTACAATGAAGGGAAGCAGGCTGTGCCCCCTCCCCCAACCCCACCCCCTCCAGAGGCCCTGGGGGGTGGGGACAAGCTAGCCTGTGGGGCCTGTGGGAAGCTCTTCTCCAATATGCTTATCCTCAAGACCCACGAAGAACATGTCCACCGCCGTTTCCTGCCCTTTGAGGCCCTGAGTCGGTATGCTGCTCAATTTCGAAAGAGCTATGATAGCCTATACCCACCCCCTGCAGAGCCCTCCAAATCTGAAGGGCCTCTGGACTCGCCTGCTCCCCAACTAGGCCCACCCTTCTTGGTCCCAGAGCCTGAGGCAGGCGGAACCCGTCCCTCTGAGGAGCGAAGCCGGGCAGGAGGGCACTGGCCCCCAGAGGAGGAAGAAAGCTCCAGAGGGAATTTTCCTCCCCTGGTACCTGCAGGCCGCCGGTTCTCCAGAACCAAGTTCACAGAGTTCCAAACCCAAGCCCTGCAGTCTTTCTTTGAGACCAGTGCCTACCCCAAGGATGGAGAGGTGGAGCGGCTTGCAAGTCTTTTGGGCCTAGCTAGCCGTGTGGTGGTAGTATGGTTCCAGAATGCTCGCCAGAAAGCACGCAAAAATGCCAGCGAGGGTGGGCCTGTGCCACCTGGAGGAGGAACTGGGGGGACCTCTGGCTGCAGGCGCTGCCACACAACCTTCTCCTGTGTTTTTGAGTTGGTGCGGCACCTCAAGAAATGTTATGATGACCAGCCCCCTGAAGAGGAAGAAGAAACAGAGAGAGGGGAAGAGGAGGAAGAAGAGGTGGAGGAGGAAGAAACAGAGGAGGAACAGGGCCTTGAACCACCAGCAGGGCCTGAGGGTCCATTGCCAGAACCTCCAGACAGAGAGGAGCTGAGCGAAACAGAGGCAGCAAAGCCAGGAGGCAGAGAGCCTGAAGGGAAGGCTCCTCCCTCCCCTGCCCCAGCCCACAGCTGTGACCAGTGCAACATGTCATTCCCCAGCCAGGACCTCCTGACCGGACACAGAAGACTACATTTCCTGTCATCTGTGCAGCCCAGTACTGCCTCACACCTCTTAGATCTGCCCTTACTTGTGTTTGGGGAGCGTAATCCCCTAGTGGCAGGTACTCCACCAGTGCCCGGGCCACTCCTCAAACGAAAGCACGAGGATGGCAGCCTGTCCCCCACAGGCAGTGAAGCTGGGGGTGGAGGGGAGGGCGAGCCCCCCAGGGATAAGCGTCTTCGCACCACCATCCTGCCTGAGCAGCTGGAGATCCTGTACCGTTGGTACATGCAGGACTCCAACCCAACACGCAAGATGCTTGACTGCATCTCAGAGGAGGTGGGGCTCAAAAAACGAGTGGTACAGGTCTGGTTCCAGAATACCAGGGCCAGGGAGAGAAAAGGCCAATTTCGAAGCACCCCTGGGGGGGTGCCCAGTCCAGCAGTCAAACCCCCTGTCACACCCACTCCAGCACCCTTCCCCAAGTTCAATCTCTTGTTGGGCAAGGTGGATGATGGGGTTGGGAGGGAGGTCCCCAAAAGGGAAGGGCCTGCTTTTCCCTATCCCCCTGTCACCTCTGTTGCTGGGCCCTTGCCTTTTCTACCACTGGGGAAAGAAGCCAGCACCCCAGCACCAGAGCCACCTCTACCTCTTCTACCTCCCCCTCCACCCAGTGAAGATGAGGGCCCCGAGGAACTGTCTAAAGTGTCTCCAGAGAGTGAGGCATGCAGTCCATCTGCAGGGGATCTAAGCGATTCGTCTGCTTCCAGCCTGGCTGAACCAGAGTCCCCTGGGGCTGGCGGTAGCAGTGGGGGAGCAGGAGGTGGGGCCGGGGTTCCAGATGGAATGGGGCAGCGGCGCTACAGGACCCAGATGAGCAGCCTACAGTTGAAGATCATGAAGGCCTGCTACGAAGCCTACCGCACCCCCACCATGCAGGAGTGTGAGGTGCTGGGGGAGGAGATTGGGCTGCCCAAGAGAGTCATCCAGGTCTGGTTCCAGAATGCTCGTGCCAAGGAAAAGAAGGCCAAATTGCAGGGGGCAGCAGTTGGGGGGCCTGGGAGCAGCACTGAGGGCCCCTTGGGAGCCCAGCGCACCGACTGCCCATATTGTGATGTCAAATATGATTTCTATGTCTCCTGCCGAGGCCATCTCTTTTCCCGCCAGCACCTGGCCAAGCTCAAGGAGGCAGTCCGAGCACAGCTAAAGAGCGAAAGCAAGTGCTATGACTTGGCCCCAGCACCTGAGGCCCCCCCAGCAACCAAGGCCCCGCCAACCACCACACCTGCTGCTTTGCCGCTCGGGGCTGCCCCAGCCCTGCCTCGCCTGGCCCCAGTCCTCTTGTCCGGCCCAGCTCTGACTCAGTCCCCACTGAGCAGCTTAGCTCCTTTCAATTCAGGTGAGCTGGGAAGTTGGGAGGAGTTGGACTTTAGAGACACGCCCTTCCTTTTCTTTCTTGAGTCTTCCTACCTGCAGTCTCCTCCAGTAGCCCACCTTTGCTTCAGCCTTTTGGGGGACAGGTAGTGGGGAAGGGGGGTAGAAGTCAGGGGGTGAGAATGGGTAAGTGTGTATCTGGAGCAGGAAGAATGATAGGGCAGGAGGTGGCTAATCCTTCATCCCAGGTCTTTTCATCTTCCTAGGCCCTGCAGCCTCCCCAGGCCTCCTTGGCCTCGCCACTTCTGTCCTGCCTGCTACCACAGTGGTCCAGACGGCTGGCCCAGGCCGCCCCTTACCTCAGAGACCCATGCCCGACCAAACCAACACCTCCACAGCAGGCACCACTGACCCTGTCCCAGGCCCGCCAACTGAGCCCTCAGGGGACAAGGTCTCTGGTGAGCGAAAGCCAGTTGCAGCCCCCACCAACTCCTCCACCGATGCCCTCAAGAACCTCAAAGCATTGAAGGCCACTGTCCCAGCTCTGTTGGGGAGCCAATTTCTGCCCTTCCCACTGCCTCCTGCAGGGGGAGCAGCACCTCCAGCTGTCTTTGGCCCCCAGTTACAGGGGGCCTACTTCCAACAGCTCTACGGCATGAAGAAGGGGCTATTTCCCATGAACCCTGTGATACCTCAGACCCTCATTGGGCTGCTCCCCAATGCCCTTCTCCAGCCACCCCCCCAGGTCCCTGAGGCCACAGCCACAGCACCTCCAAAGCCACCTGAACTGCCCTCTCCAGGGGAGGGGGAGGCTGGGGATGCTGATGAGCTGCTGACTGGCAGCACTGGCATTTCCACTGTGGATGTGACCCACCGCTACCTGTGCCGCCAGTGCAAGATGGCATTTGACGGGGAGGCCCCAGCCACTGCCCACCAGAGATCCTTCTGCTTCTTCGGGCGGGGCCCCGGGGGTTCCATACCCCCTCCACTGCGGGTGCCCATCTGCACCTACCACTGCCTGGCATGTGAGGTGCTGCTGAGTGGGCGTGAAGCCCTAGCCTCCCACCTGCGCTCCTCGGCCCACAGGCGCAAGGCGGCCCCACCCCCAGGGGGCCCACCCATCACTGTCACCAACGCCGCCACTGCTGCCACGGCTGCTGTGGCTTTTGCCAAAGAGGAAGCAAGATTACCTCACACGGACTCCAACCCAAAAACTACTACTACCTCTACACTTCTAGCTTTATAAACAGATAAACCAAGATTGGGGGGGGGGCAGAGGGAAGGGACTTAGAGCTCCCTCTCTTAACCCAAGAGGTGTTTAGTGGGAACTCCAATCTCTCACTCCAGCCCTCGGCTCCGCCCACCTTATGGGAATCTTTCCATTCCCACCCTCAGTGGGCTTCACACACCCCACCTCCAGCAGAGTCCTGCCTCCTCCCCCACCCCCACAGAGACACTAGAATCCTCAACTCCTTGCAGATACACTTCTTGCCCTGTATCTTCATAGATACACACCCACAGTGTCATCCCAATTCATACATGTCTGCCTTGCCCACCCCACCACATAGCTACCATTGGTTCTATCTTCCTACAACCTTTCTCCATTGAATTACCAGAACCTCCACATTTCCTGTGTAAACACATACATGCACACATACATGCATATACATGTTAGCCCATGCTGTTCCGACTGAGAAACACCAAAAAAAAGAAGAAGAAGAAAAAAAAAGAACAAGACAAAGAAGGGGGAAGGAAAAGAACCCTTGCCACTCCCCTTTCCCTTCCCTACCCCCTTGTCTAGAGCACCATACTGCTCACAAACTTTTTCCAAATACCCAGTTAGTTGGCTCCTAAAGTTGGAGCCTGGGATGGGCAGGGAGCCCACAAAACTCTAACCAAACTGGAGGTTGGCAGAAGCTCCCAGCTCACTCTCCTTACCCTACCCCCTCCCTCCTAACCCTCTCCTGCCTGGGAGCCACTGGGAGCCCCTGCGGCCTGGAGGCCTGGAGGCCTGGACTCTCGGGGAAGCCGCTGCCAGTAACCCCTCTGCTAACCCCCACCCTGCACCCTGGGAATTGCAGTAACTTATTCTCAAAGGCTTTAAAACACAGAGATCCTCTCAGCAGCCGTGGGCCTGCCTCTTGTCCCAGCCCTGCCAAGTGGGGGTCCAGCCTCCAGGGACCAGTGCTGCCCACCAACGGCAAATCCAAAGTTCTTAAAAAAAAAAAAAAGATAAAGAAACACACACAACCAAAAAAAATGAGAGTGTGAGAGAGCGCACCCATGCGCACAAGAGAACTAGACCAGAGGAATGAACTAAAGAAAAACATAAACTTGGAAAAATACAAAAAAAAAACAAAGAAAACTCTCCCATCAAACAAGTGTTTTTTTTTTCCTGTTTGTGTCATTTCTCCCCTTCCCCCCATTTGAGGAGTTTCTTTAAACCACCTCATCTTTGGAAGATCAGATGGTTTTAACGTCTTGCCATGGGTCTCATGATTGATCCTCGTGTGACTGAAGCAGTCCAGCCCTCCCCTGGCCAGGCCCAGTCTCAGAGGCAGGAGCTGGTAATGGGGAGAAAAGCATGGACACAGAAGAGACCTGTCCCTGCTCCCTGAATTGAGTACTTTAACAAGACAGATAACATCTCCTAATTCCCAGCTGTGGATTTAAAAGGCAGTAGCCAAAAGTATCTTGACCATTCCAGGAGGAAAAGGGTGGATGGGGCAGTTTGGTTTCCGAATTCTGGGTATGCTTCCCTTTTGCCTACCACCATTTCCTCTTATTTATTCTTCTCACAAAACCCTACTCCTATTTCCCTTCCTAGTGGCCCCTTCGCATTTCTGCCACTTCTTGAACTTTCTTTGCCCTTGCTGGGTCCCTCGTTCCCCATCTGGTTTTCTCCCCCACCATCCTTAGCCTTTGCTCTGGCTCCCTACACCCCATCACATTACACCCCCAAGCCCCTCCATTAAACAGTAGCTGCTGGAGGAGGCATCCCCAAAGGACTCCGCAGGGCTTGTTGGTTAGGATCCTGGCAGGGCAGTCTAGAGATGTTGTTGAGGGAATGGACGGGCAAAGAGAGAATTTAAGAACAAAGTGAATCTTGGATAGGCTGATATCAGCAGGGGGACCAACAGAAAGGAATGACCTAGGAGAGGGCTCACCACACAATCTGTTTGTTTCTGTAAACCTCAAGTGGCAGTTCTGGCAATCCCAAAGCCCCGCTAAAGTGGCATAAGGTAGAGAAGCAGGTGTTTTATTTTAACAAAGAAAAGCCTGTAAACATGTCCCATATCCTCCAGATGGTTTCTCCTACTACTCTTGTCCCTAAGACCTTCCCTTCCAAGGCATTCTCTTTTCATCCTTTTTCCCCTTCAGCCTTCTACTACTATTATCCATTTAATACTCACAAATTCAGCCAGCCCTGGCATTTAGGTTTTCCGGATTGTCAGTCACTCCGCTCTGTGGACAGGTTAATATTGAAGAGGCTTATGTACAGAAGAGATGGGACGGGAGACAGGGAATTCAGCCAGTCCCTAGTCCCCATATATCTTGTGAATCTCATTTCCAGTCCCACTCACTACTAAAATTTAAAAACTCCAACTCCCGCAAACTGGAAATGGGTGGCGATGGGGGCGGGGCGGGGAGTTAGTTATTCTGATGATACCAAAACTGCCAGTTACAGATGCCGGCATTAGGAGAGAAACCGGCTCACTGGGTCTTGCTCTTGCTGCCACCTTTCCTTGCCTCTTAACCTCCTTCTTGCTCCCCTCGCTCCCTTTCCCTCTCCCACTGGAATTCTATGTATAAAACTATTTTCTTAGCACCATGTATATCAAGAAAGAGGATTTTTCACTCTGTGCTTTCTGGGAATGTGACTTTGTAAAAGGTTGAAAACAAACAAAAAATTAGAATGAGAAAGAGGAAATGTTTTAAAGAAAACCTTGGCAAACACTTGGCATGGATGATTATTTTAGGGATTTATAACCAGGGTAGGTTGGCTTTACTTTCAACTATGCTTATTCAGCAAGGGTTAATGTAGCCAAAAATCCCTCCTCCTCTTGCCCTCCAACACATTCTCTCACCTACACCTAGATGCCTGGGTTTGGAGACACCATGTATATATTCACAATAGCAGACAGGAGCTAACTCTAAGCAACTGTACTTACTTGGGACCCTGGGATTTGGGGCAAAAGACAGCCTGCCTGGCTGACTCTGCTGATTTAGATAAATCAGCATGCTTCTTGAGGGTACATCATCTTATATTTTCAGTGGCTGGAAGCATTCCTTCCCAACCCTTTCCTCTGACCAGAAGTCCTCAGCAGTAGCATTTTGGCTCCAGAGATATACTGTGGGCTGTTTCGGTTGTCAGAAGGCTGAGTTAGTATAGCCCTATGAAAAATGCCAAGTCACCAGGATTAAATCATGTTGCTTCTCCCGTAGAGCAGTAATAAACCCAATTCAAGAGCACACTGACAACTTATGGAACCTCCCATAACCCTAAAGTGACCCCGAATCAATGGCTCATAAGATTGGTCTTTCATGGCTTGCGGCAAAGGCCTAGGGTTTCTGCATATGTGGGTCCTAAAGAAGCATCCAAATTCTGGTCCACCCTACTTATAGTCAGGATTAATACAGGGCAGCATGGAGGGGAAACAACTTTGGCTATCTTTGCACTAAATCAAAGTCAGTGTAAGGAAGACTTGAGGTGTACAATCCTCACCTAGGAACAAAAAGTAAAGTTTGCCAGAAAATCATAAAAAATCTGAAGCCTTGTGGTCACATGGGACAGTCTGCAATAGGACCAAAAAATAAAACTATTCTTCCCCAATGCCTCTAATCCCTGGAGTGCACCCACCTGCTTAATTCCTTATATTTTCTCCTTATCCACTTTCAAGACCTAGACCTGATCATAGATGCCTCAAAATCTCCACCTTCTGTTTTCATACACCTTCATTCACCAGTCATTCATCCCTGTATAGACAGATGTTCACTTCTTACAGAAGTGTGCACCAAGTCAAGCCCAAGTCCACTGCCACTGAGTTGATTCCGACCCATAGAGACCCCCATTGGGTTTCTGAGGTGGTAAATCTTTAGTAGATTGCCCTGTCTTCCTTCCATGAAATGGCTGGTGGGATTGAATCACCAACCTTCTGGTTAGCAGTCAAATACTTTAGGCACTGTACCACCAGAGCTCCTTGAAGTATACACAAGAACCAAAAAAGCCAGTTATTCCACACCTAAGAGCACCCACCTGCTTAATTCCTTCTATTTGTTCCTTACTCACTTTCAAGACTTACAGACCTGTACACAGATGCCTCAAAATCTCCACCACTCTGCTCTTTTCTTCTATTTTAAGACATACTCATTCACCAGTCATTCATCCCTGGGTAGATAGATGTTCACACCTGAAATACAGAGTTCTTTGTGTATACAATAGCACCAAAGAAATAAGCAAGTGCACCCTCAGAAGGAGAGCCTACGGGGATACATACAAATGCCAGCAAGGATAGGTCCCCATGGGCATACAGACAGAAGAGAAATGCTCCCAGAACCATCATCTATGTAGACTCCTTTAGACAAAAACATACTAATTTTCCCTACATGACAGTAGGTAGGGAAAGCTTATAAACAGAAATCCAGAGTAAAATGTAATCAATATCAGGAAGGGTGACTAAATGTTGACCCCCAACCCATAGGAAAAAGACTTTAAATTCTTCCAGGATATGATGCTGTGGCTCAGGAGGGGACAGAAGTAGAAGGAAAATCAGGAGAAAGCCTTTATGAAAACTCATGATATCATCCTAAAACACAGGGATAAACTGGGCTGGGACCTATGAAATAGGAAGAGCCAGATACTGAGGGAGCATTTCACTAGACTGTAGCAGGAAATTCACACTATCAGTTGAGCCCAACTAGTCAGACACTTGTAAGCCATGACAATGTCATTTCTGAAGGACTGAGTTACCAAGGAAAGAGTTACCAAAGGATGTTCCCATACCAAGGAAGCTCTTGCTACAATGAGAATGGTTACAGACCCAGCTTCAGGGTCTAAGAATTATAGCTTGGATACATTATGAAAAGATCAGTCAAAAGAAAATGCTTAGAGAGAAGACATTTGTAGAACACCAACCATGGCTCATCAAGTTTATAGAAAGACAGAAAGTGATTCCCAGGGAAAGGGTCCTTGGAAGAGACTGCACTTAATGGGAAGAACAAAAAATTGGGTGAGGACACACCCAGTCACTCCCTTTGATATAAAGGATAAGCCAACTCTCCAAACAAAGGATAGACAAGAGCTAATATCACCATTCCCTGCCAATATTGCCAGTGCCTAGTGTTTCTTACAGCTTCCCAACCATGGAGAGGCATCTTGCTAAAAGCTAGTAGGGAAGCAGGTTGAGTGATTATAGAAGGACAAGAAATGTGAACCTCGTCCAAGGAAAAGGGGAAAGGTGATGCAGCACCCGGGATTGACTTATAATCCTACTCAACCACACATACATTCTTGCACAAATGTTGGCTAAAACACCAAAACAATAGCAGGGGTTCAGCAATGCCCCACATCTACAGTCCCTTCCTACTATCAAACCCTGCACCATGTCTTCTCAACTGGACTCAAAGAACAATCTATGCTCACTTCTGAATATCTACACCAAGTGTCCAAACAACAGCATCATCTGCAATTTGCTAAGTATCACCAGTAGGCTAGGCCCTGTACTCTGCTGACCCCTACTACTTCTACTACCTAGGACTCAGCTCTGCCTCTGAGAAGTGTGACTAGAATCTACCCTTTACTCAGCCACAAAATCCACAGAAATCTAACTTGAACATAGAGAAAAATCTGGCAATACTTCTAATCTAGTTCTCAATGGTGTGAGGTTTCAGAAACACATGGTGAGCTGATCATCAGAATCAGGAAGTTAAGAGAAGAGTGAATTTTGAAAATGCTTCCTAAGGGATTCTTTTGTGATTATTGCTGCCAATAAGAATCACTGCTTTAACAAGTTACACTTGCTTCATATGGCCTCATAATATCTACTATTCCTCCAGCTACCCCTACCCATAACATACACACACATATCCCACACATATCACATGCATTACAGCATAAAGATATGAATATGAATATGATTGGGAAGAAATTTACAAAAAGCATGAGAAATCCAGATCAACTGCTCTACAAGATGACTGCCATCTCTTAGAATAGTGTCTGTCAAAGTTTCATCCACAGGCCACCTGTATCATGGTCACCTGGATGCTTGTTTAAAATGCATATCCTAGAACCACACCTTAGACCAGCTGAACCAGACTCTCAAAGTGATTCTGTGTTCTCTAG